GAGCCCTGGGCTCTGCAAAGCATCTGTGGGGGCTCCGCGAAAATAATAGTCATAATAAAAAAATACTAAAGGAGTACCATGAGGAAGTTCGCCACAAAAGGGATGACTGATTTTGCATGAGGATTTTTTTTTAGAAATGCTCCGGGGTTGCAAATTAAAATAAAACCTATCTAAATCAATATAAAGTTTAAAAAATGTATTTTTATTATTTTAGGGCTCCGTCAAATATTGCGCTTTTCAATAGGGTTTTGTCGCCAAAAAAGTTTGAGAAACGCTGGTCTAGAAGGTTATAAATTAGCCAATCAGATTGTAGGCTATATTATGACGATGTATAAAAACCATGGTGGCGCGCGTTTCAAATCTGCTTGAATTTTTTGGAATTTAAAAAAATTCTTGTAGGAAACAATTTTTGAATTTCACTAAACACACCCATTGAGACAGGGAATAAATAATATAAAGAGGAAAATAATTACAAACTTAAATGTGCACTCGTGCGCCAAAGTTACTTTGGCGCACGTATCCAGTGTGGCTTTTTATCGGACCAATAACGGGTGTTTTGCCGGTTAACATACCCGTTCAAATAAAACTAGTCGCGATATAAAACGTTGCCTCGTCTGAATATAAAACGTTATCAATTAAATAGTTATATTTACTATTTCGGTCAAAGTCGTCTTCAGAAAATTTATGGACGAGATGTACTATATAAGGTTCGTATTTTACCCTTTTAAAAATGTTCGATACTGAAGACTTTCCTATACCCAGGGCCGCCGAGAGCCAGGTTGGGCCCCGGGACAATTCTCTCATAGGGGCTCTGCAACTTTTCGTTTTCTAAAAAAAAAAGAGGGTCCTCGTCTCGAAACAATTTTACTTTCTCCCTACCTCAATTACTTCTTCTAAAAAAAAAGGTCCTCGCCTAGAAAAAAAGTTTCTCCTTATCTCGATTACTTCTTCTAAAAAAAAAATGTCCTCACCTCTACAAAAATATTTGATCCCTAACTTCAATTATTCTTCTTCTAACAATAATCACATCACCATGTGGGAACAGAAAACCCTATTGTCGGGCCCCCTTACAGCGCTGCCGGGCCCCCATTTGAGCCCGGGCCCCGGCTACCCCCCTCTAGTCGGGCCTGCCTATACCTACTCAAATACCTAGATAATCCCGCACTGTCAAGTGTGGATTTTCTATTGCCACAAAATTACATCTTGTAATATTTTTGCCCTATTTTGCTTACAGTAGATTGAGAAATACGCGTAGATTCACGTCAACATCATTCATTATTAATATTAAATTTCAATTATCTCATTTTCAGTTAAAGGCATTTTCAATAAAACATGTAAAATATAATAAATTAGATTAGATAGATTTCACGTAAATTTACCTACTTCAAAGCCTAAACTAAAACTACTAAAGACAGACTTTTAGACTCGACATGCAAAAATTTAAAGACATTTTTTAGTCAAGATCAATTTTTTCTTCCACGCGAAAGAGTCGCAAAATGTAACATTAAAACAAATGCTATATTCATAGAAGATTGTTTAAACCGGCATGTTTTATGTTCAGTTTACTATGTAAAATAGTTTCACCAATCTATTATTTGTTATGTGGTCATACGAGTTCAAAATTTAGGAAGATATAAAAGTATTAAAAGCATTTCACGACACCTTTTAATCAAACAGCAAGACATTCTACAATATTCATCGCTTATAGACCGTCAGATAGTGACCGATTTAGATGTCCCATTTTCGCATACAAGCCTGTACATCTATGTTGAGTACAATAAAAGGAAATTTACGAGTGGCTCTTGCGGATAACACATGATTTTCCTTTTCAAAAAAATTTTCCGACCTTAAAATGCACTAATACATTCAGGTCATTCAAAAAATATATTTTTCCGCCTACCTTTATCCAAAGTATACATTTCCTGACCTCATTGCAGGGAGCAAAGTCATACTTTTTCTCCCTAGGGGGGAAAAGTACTTTTACTCCCTAGGGAGGAAAAGTAAAAGTGACGTCATGGTATGTCATAAATAAAATAGCTTATACGGCATTGACGACCTAAACTATATTCTATTATATAAGTATGAATTTTACCGTTTATTTATAGAACACCCTGTATTTTGCAAAATAGTAAAAATCAGTAAATTGTTATTTTAATTTAACGATTTTTACATTAATAATTTGACTTCAATTCATAGATTCATCCGATTTTCGAATTTAGGACAGAAATATTATAGCATGCTATGGTCGATTGACAGATCAGTTTTAAAGTGTGTTACGCTATAATATATCTACAAAATATAAAATAATATTTAAAAAATGAGTGATTCAAGTGAATTTAAAGATATAAATAATACACCACCGGATATTTTGGAACAGGTTAATGCAACAGTTCAATCTCTATTACCCCAAAAATCTAAAGAAAAATACGAAAAACAGTATTTACATTTCAAGCAATGGGCCGAAGAAAAGCATATTCGTACTTACTCAGAAAAATAATTACTCTACCACAAATTAAAAATATGTAGGATGCAAGAATGAAAATAACATGCCTATAATTTATACTATACCTACTTAATAATTTTAGTTCTTTAATAAATTTTGTTTATTAGTTTCATAAATAAATTATTTAAAAATGACTTGTTATTTGAGGGAGGCGGAAAAATCATATGTATTACTTGGGAGTAAAGTGCCTTTTCCTCCCTTGGATGTTTACTGCCCTCCGCTTCGCGTCGTGCAGTAAACTTCATCCTGCGGGAGGAAAAGTGACACTTTCCTCCCTAGTAATACAAATAGCTATTTCGTACTAGTGATGATGTACGTTTTCATACATTCGATGGGCTTGTGTGGAAAAATCCTTAGAAGATTACGTCCTTATTTCAACCCTTTAGCCACTTGCAACATTAAGGCCTTTGGTTTTCTAAAGCCTAGTTCTATTATTTAATCATATAGTGGAAACGGCTTGCGTAGAAATATAGGCAACAAATAACCTTTCATTTTGTAGGGGAAAATCGAATTTTCCACCCGTAAATTTATTTTCATTCTACTTAAAATCGATGTACTTTTCAATCCTCTTCGAGGCTTGTATGCGAAAATGGGGCACCTAAACCTGTCACTAGCTGACGATCTATTAGTTATCTACTCCACACTCTACCTGATACGATGCGACGAAAGGAACCTTAACACAGACTACGATATAATTTGAGAAAAAAGTTCTATATGTGTGAAAGAAACAAACCTTTTTAACACTATTTAAAAGGAAATGTTAACATACAAAATATGTTACTCTTTACGACTGATCTATTGTTCTCTGCAACAAAACTATTGCATTCGCATCTACTGACAAACGGTTGAGAACACAAAACAAATTCGACAATCTTTATTTTTCCCTTAGTATATTTCGCTAATAAATTATAGCATTGTATTTAGATCTACAATGATTATAGTAAATAAACTATACCTACTATGGGAAAAAATGCGTGACACTGTTTATGTAAAAATGTACAAAATTTTCTATTTTGGTTCGAACTTGGTTTAAATCGGATCAAACCGGTTTGAACTGAACCGAATTAGAAAAAAAAAATCGTAACCGATTTGCCGACATGAACCGTATCCGAATAATATTTCGGTTCACAGACGTGCCAAGACGCAGAATAAAGAAGAAAAATTAGAAAATCCCAATACCATGTGTCACAAAAAATAATACGAGGGACCATTTTGTTGAGGAAAACAACTTCTCCTACAACAACAGGCACTGAAGAAATAGCAACTTAAGAATCACCCTTTATATTCGGGCATCGTCTGGTCGATTTTAAAAAAATCATTTTTTTCTCGCAATTTTCTGTCAAAAAGTTTTCGAGATTCTTAATGTAACACTCTGTGTACCTAATATATCCAAATCAGAAAGATTGAGATAGAAAAATATTACAAAAATAACTTTATATAGGAAAATTCGGGAAATCAACTAAAGAAAAGGGATACAATTTTAAAAATAATTTTAATTAAAAATTTAAAAATCCGATCTTGTAGATTTGGTTCATTTTAGTTTTTAACACTTTTAAATTTTTAGATCTATTGAAAAAATCAGCGCCAAGTAGGATAGTCAATGTATCATCAAAAGCAGCAAAATATGCAAAGAAGTTTACACCAGAACAGATTAATTCTTACAAGAGCCATGTAAATGCGTATAGTAATTCAAAATTGGGAAATATTTTGTTTACGCAAGTGTTGGCAGAAAAATTAAAAGATTTTAATGTTAGTGTATTTTCTCTACATCCTGGAGCAATTTATACTGACATAGCCATACAGCACCTGAATCCGTGTATACAAAGTTGTGGAAAATGCTTTTCAAATATATTCCTAAAGGTGACTATAATTTTCTAATATGTTTCTTTTTCTTAAGTTGATCTTCATTTTTATACAGTGTGTGTATTTTTGAATTCAGCTTTCTATGTCGATCCCAAAATTTGAATAATATAATGCCCCATTTAAAAAAATTGCCGCTGACGTCATTAGTCAAATGTTCATCAACCGGTATACATAACTTTTTGTTCAAAATGTGAAAAATTAAAATAAAAAATCGACCTGTTTCAAGCATATATCCTTAAAAAGAAATATATTGGCTAAAAATTAATGCATTCCATACTTTACGGACTCAGTGTATGTTGATATGGAATATAATTTAAATCTGAATAATCATGATAATAGTCAGTCTACTACAAATGTAATAATTTAGTTAATTTATCTTAGAATAAGGATTGCCTATGTTCTAAAGGTCTACAATTATTTTTGTTGAAAATGGTTGTTTTTCGACTATTTTTTAAGAAAAACTTTATATATAAATCAGAGAATCATAACAAAAAGAAAAGAAAATAAAACAAAAGATATAAGTAAAAGATATTCGGAAAATTAACTAGTGGTCTTAACAATGAATTATCATTATATCATCGTTAGACTGGTTTATCATTATTTATTAATAATCAAATATTATTTGTAGACTCCAGTGGAAGGTTCTCAAACAACGTTATACGTAGCACTGGAACAAGGTATTGAACACCTTACCGGGAGACATTTTGAAGAATGCAAAGTTGTCAAATCATATTCAACTGCAAAAGATCCTAAGCAAGCTAAACAAATTTGGGATTCGACACTAAAACTTCTCTCATATGATGAAAATGAAACTATTCGCATTTAAAATGTTTATTTGTTTAAAGCCCTTGCCTACAAAGCCTATTAAAACTATTTGTTAAAAATATACTGTTTTTCTACACCCAATGGATATTATTTATTTATTCTACGAACGAAACAGTTGGCCATTGCGTTTTCTGAACGAATATATTTCACATCTATTCTTGTAAGGAAACTGTTCTGTGAGGATGTGAAATCAATCAATCACAGTTCATATTTTTGATAACCGAACTGTAGTTCGGTTAAAGATAATAAAAAAAGATAATAGTAATTATCTTTTTTTTTTTTAATTTTAAATAAATGACACTTTTGTTTGTAATGAGATTAAATATAATTAAAAGCAAGTGATTCTTGTAAAGAATCAATAAATAATAGCATTCCACAAGATATTCGTCTACAATTACAAATAAATCGTAAATTTTAACAAAACTATATAAAGAAATGTTGATATCAGGGGGGCTATTTTCAAACTTGAGAGAATTCATTTCTCTTGAGAGAAATGTCATACATCAACGTAAAACAGTATTTTTAGGGCTCTTAGGGCCAGTGTGAACTCACTGACTGTTTTTCTCGGTTTATTTAGAGATAATTAAAATTCTCCTAAGATTTTTAATCCTCGAGGCCTTTAAAAACAGACTTTCCACATTGACATATGACATTTCTGATAAAAATCTTGAGAGAAATGAGTGCTCCCATACTTTGAAAATAGCCCACCAGCTGTGGAAGCTAAACCGACAATAATATGGGATATGGGCAGGGTTGCCAACCGGTCTTTACCGATTTACTCTCAAAAACTTTTCCGGATTACTCACAATTACTCACAACTTCAAAATATTAATATTACTAGTTTTTTTATATAAATCTTATATTTTGTACTCTTGCACTTTGGTTTGAATTTATTTTACTACTGTGCAATATTGCCAAACATTAAAAGCAGATGCACCTTTCTTCTGTGCATTCACTATTTTAATAACAAAGTAATATACAGGTTGATTCATAACTATTGGGACATAGGCTAAGGCAGGTTATTTGGACAAAAATATGGAGATAGGACCAAATATACCTTAATAAAATATTGCTGTGGAATTTGTTTTTTTCTGATGTCACTGTATATTTATGAATTGATATCAAAATTGGCATATTTTTCGACAAGAAATAATATTTTATGTATTATTTCATATTTTGTTACAGGAGGCGCCACGTGAATGAATCCTGATGATGAAATTAAGTGGTAACTTTTTTTACGAAACTTTTTAGTATTTTTGATTAGAAAATTTCACCCGTTTTCGAGAAAAACGCAATTGAACAACTCACAAAATATTTCATTTATCAAAAATTTGCTTTGCAGTGTCAAATAATTTGCTATTAGATTATAGTTTATTATTATTACTATTATTATTATTATTTAACGCCCTGTATCTTATTCCACAGCAATATTTTATTAAGGTATATTTGGCCCTATCGCCATATTTTGATACAAATAACCTGCCCTTAGCCTATGTCCCAATAGTTATGAATCACCCTGTATATAAAACATCTTTGTCATCAGCTGAACAAAAAACAAAGATAAAAAGGATTGGAGAATCAGAGTAGCTTCTTTATTAACGGACCAAATCATAATAAATCATTAATTCTAATACTTAAAAAAATCTACTAATAAAAAATATACTTTTAAAATGAACAAAAAAAAAAAAGATATTAATCGACGGTTGGGACAGTCCCAATGGGACTATCACTATCGAAACGACACCTAGTGTTGTAAAATATCAAAATTGCTTTTACTCTATTACATTGACCAAGCAATAGAGGACGTTGTAATTTTAAAACTATAAAATTGTAATGACTGCTAAAAGTGCTAGGAGGGTAAAATAAGGCTTATATTAAAATTTTTAAAAAGAACACGGTTTTAATAATTTATCCAATCAGGATTTTGCCTAACTACCATGAATATACCCACGCTGACTTCCCGATTACTCACATATTACTCACAATTGCCCTTTACTCACAAAATTACTCACAGACTAGTAAATTACTCACAAATGTGAGGAATTACTCACAGATTGGCAACCCTGGATATGGGATATGACCATGATACCCCAGTATAAAGAACAATACAGTAGCGACAGATTGCGTCGGCTTCTTTGATGTCGGGGTGGTCAAATTTTCAATGACAGTTGACGTTTTTGTCGCTTATTTCTACACGGAGAAAAGTAAACTCTAAAATTGCAAATTAGCGATGTACACTTAGAAAAAAATTAAAACATGTACATATAACATTTTAATGTATTCTAGGCAAATAAATTAATCAAAATATTGTGTAACTTAAATAAATGAGTTCTGGTGAAAATCTAGATGTGCCAATTTTAAAATTTTATCATTAGATTAAAATAAATTACTTTTGTATGCCATTCATTGTATGAAATGTGTTAAACATTTTTTGGTTTCTTCCTGGAACTAATAAATTAACTCTGCACCTTATTTTTTTATTTAAAATGAGGTTATGTAGGTATCTTTTTAGAAGTGAAACAACATATAACAATAATATTTAAAATGATCTGTCGCTACTGTATTGGTATATATACTGGGATGATACTATTACTCGAGAAGATAAACCCACGCGCATGCGATCAGCCCATTTCTCTCGCAAGCTTGACGTCACTGGGAGACTACCCGACTCAGCAACAGCCAGTTTTATACGGCGCAAAGCAGTTTTGCGTGTATTTTAAATTCTGTTTATTAAATAGGGATATGAAAAATCCAAAGTGAGGAAGAGAGAAATGACAAAAATTGTAAAATAAATTAAAAGTGTAAATTTGTGAATATTTGTCCTATAAAAATTAAGTACTTAATAAATTGTTTATCATTTAAAAAACATTTACCGCCTTCCAAAATCCCAAAAAATACTGCTGCAAATTGAATCAATACTTCCAAATTTCTGTTGCTGTTTAACTTTTAACTAATTATTACTTGTTTATCCAAACATTTTCAATTTTTACCCTTCCTTTTTTACATTCATCCGTAATTTTTATAAAAATATTAAATTGACTGTAAAATGAAAAGTCTATACTTTAGAAGCTCTAAAATAAGATTTAACTTTAATTTTTTTTCAAATATTTTAAATTTTTACCCTCTCCCCTTTTTACCCCTACCTGTAATTTTTTTTATCAAATCACTAAAAGAATTTTAAAATTAGAATAGTACGAGACAACTCGATTTTTTAAATATTTTAAATTTTTACCCCTCTCCTTTTCACTCTTTTTCTAATTATCTGTTAAAATATTAAACGGATAATAAAATCAAAATGTCCATAGCCAAAAACCTATATAACGACATATTACTCGATTTTTTACGAAAAATTGCAATTTTTTATCATTTTCCCAGACATTTCAGCCCCTTCTCCTCTACCAATTTTACTAAAAAATATTCCAATTCGACCCCTAATGGAATAACACCTATCTATAGCGCAATTCCTTTAAAAGTTATGGTGAATACCGACAGACAGAAAATTTTTTTTGCTCATAATACTTTTTTTACACGTTTTCGGACAATTTAAGATGATTAGACAAGCCAAAAAATACTTAATTTAATAATATATCAATATTATAAAAATAATATATCAATATTTTAATATTTTAATAAATAAACATAAAATATTGATTAAAACCGCTCCTAGCGTAATGCTTTTCCATGCCCACGAGCTGGATTTTTGTCATCGGGTGACGTCATGCGCAAACGTGGTCGAAATTGAATCGTCAAGTGGGCTTATCTTCTCGAGTAATAGTATCATGGGATATGACTCAGTCTGACTATAGTAAAAGTTCTCTCTCTCTCTCTCTCTCTCTCAAAAAGTTTGGGTAACTATCCAAGCATCTCCCAGGCGGAAATTCACGCCATTGAGAAGTGTATCCACTACAACAAGAGATTATCATCATGTCCGATAGCCAAGCAGTCATCAAAAAGCTGAGTTCTTATGTAATCAGCTCCAAAATGGTCTGGAGTTGCCTAGAAAAACTGAATGAGCTAGGCGAAGAAAATACAGTTATTCACACTTGGATCGTGGGACATAACGGGGTAAAGGGTAACGAGATTCCAGATTGTCTCGCAAGGAAAGAAACACAAACATCTTTTGTGGGACCTGAGCCGTTCTGCGGAATCAACAGTAGCATAATATTAGGAGAGATTGGAAAAGCAATTGGGCAGTAGAACCGATAATTGGAAAAATCTCTTGGAGTTAAGATAGGCTAAGATACGTCTGGGTGAATATAACCAGAAAAGATCGGAAACATGTATCAGCTTGAGCAAGAACAGGCTATAAATTGTAAGTGGGATCCTTATTGGGTTAGCCGACTCAAAGAACACCTTGATAAACTGAGAGTAATAAAAGACAGTAAGTGTACATAATCAACTTAAATTTGAGTTTGATAGATGACACGACAGCTCCCATGGTTCGTCTGGAAAGGCCATTAGGTTCGTACGTATCGTTACAGTTAGAAACCTATCAGAAGTACCGATTGATCCACAAAAAATATTTCTAAAGTAGGCCATGACTGACAAAGATATAAATACGAGTCACATCCGACTACGAACGCCTCCGGATTAAATCCAAACGGTCATTAAAAAAAATTGTGCGCTCCGACGTATGTGATTTTTTCCATTGTCTACTTAAGAAATATTTGTTGTAGGTCACTCCGTACAATCATATACCCTCATTTTATCTTTTATGAAATGAAAAATACAACTGAAGTGAAGTTTTCAACAATATAATAGTAGTTTATCCTTAGATAAAAGAGACCAGAGATATAACATACACCGGTGTTTAACCAGCGCAAATGTTGCCAATTTCTAAAGAAAGGTTAACGGAGTGGGGGAACTGAGCAGAGACCCGAACTCTGTGACAGGGACCGGACTTTGTTTATTAGCATCATAATGAACTATTAGATTTATTTAAAATATATGTTTAATGGATTTTTGTATTATGAAATAAAATTTACGTGATTTTTTAATATCAAACAGATACATGTTATGTAAAGAGAGGACCTTTTATAGAATATTTCGTTAGAGTTTATTTACTACGGACTTTTCAGCAAGAGACTACAGTAAACTGTTGAAATACAATATTGTTAATAGAGCAAGAAATGGTACTCATTGTCTACGAGTTATATAAAAAAAGCATGTGCACAGGCGAATACTGCAAATAAAACCTTGTGAGTTGAACATTATATTTTTTCTACGGCTTTTACATAATATTAAAAATAAATCGAAAATAAGAAAATGCTGTTTTGTATTGTAACCTCAGCTTCTTTCTTTAGGAATATTAATTAATATAGAGGATGAGTCACATAAAACTCTAGAAATGCATATGTTTGAAAACAGATAACATTTTATAATTTAAACCTCTTAAAAGTCATTTGGTCGCTAGGGATGGGTGATTATCGAAATAAATTATCGATCATTGAAAATAATTGATTATTTTCAATCGATCGATTATTCAAACAATATATTTTTTGTCGTATTTCCTTTAAAATCGACTACTTGATTATCTTTGAAAAATCAAAAATAATCGATTAATTAAAAAGCCAATTAACCGATAAATCAGTGTTTACAAAAATTAATAAAAGAATTATCGTTTATTTTAAATAATCGATTATTTTCAAATAATCAATTTTGTTTTTTGTCCATTAAAACAGATTATTCGATAATCTTTCAAAAATCGAAAATAATCGATTTATTTAAAAAGTCGATAAACTAATAAATTGATTAAAAAAAACGAATTATCGATTATTTTAAATAATCGATTATTTTCGATCAATCGATTATTATCAATAATTTATTTTTATTGTATTTCCTTTAAAATCGATAATTCGATTATCTTTGAAATACCGAAAATAATCGATTATTCCAAAATAATCGCTTAATCGAAAATAACAAATTAATTAAGAAGCAGATTCTACGATAAATCTATTTTCCAAAAAATAACCGAATTATCGATTATTTTCTAATAATCCTTTTAATATTTCGTTTAATTTGATTATTCTATTATCTCTGAAAATCGAAAATAATCAATAAATCGAAAATATTCGATTCTAAATAGCTGATTAACCGATAAATCAATAATTATAAAAGATAACCGAAAAATCGGTTATATAAAATAACCGATTATATTCGATCAATCGATTATTTTCATATAATACCTTAAAAGAATCTAAAATAATCGATTAATCGAAAATAATCGATTTAAAAAAACGATTAAACGATAAATCGATTATTTTCAATCAATCCATTATTTTGAATAAATCTACTTTCTTTTTGTATTTCCTTTAAAATCGATTATTACATTATCTTAAAAAAACAAAAATTACGGATAAATCGATTTTCATAAAAAAATATCAGAATAATCGATAAATCGATTGTATAATAAATAATAAATATAAACATAAGGGATGTATCATCCCTAATAAAAATAAAAATAAGTATTCTCAATTACAATGTTGCTGTGGTATTGCCACTGTCTATTAGCGTACTGCTCACTGCGTTGGTCTGTCTTGTCCCGCTCGTCCAACCTGACACGCATGTGTATGGACTTCAAGAATGTATGGTGGGGAGGAGTATAGAGAAATACCGCTAACATAAATATTGCTAGAATATGGATTTAGTAAACGAAAATTTTGTTTGAGTTGTTTAGTGGTTTATAATGTAACATTTTATTAACAATGTGACTAACTCCCGTAACTTTAGTATTTTTTTGCTTATACTAGATCATATTTTGCGTTTTACTTTGTTTTAAGATTAAAATGTCACTTTTGATTTGACTGCAAATAAGATGAACCTTGAAATTTTAAGTAGGTCATCCTGTATTTCATCTAATATTCTTATAAAAATACCTTAAAAAATAAAATTTAGCTAGCAACTATGCTTCTTTACTTTTTATTTATCTGCCAAAAAGGGCTAAAAACAACCTTTAGTAAATATTTTTATAAAACTACTTTTTAAAAACAAAATTTCGTTAGCAACAATGCCTATTTACTTCTTATTTAAATTAAATGTTCAAAATTTTACCCTTTTGTATATTTATGTAAGTAATATGAAATATGTTTTCTGAAATGTATTTGATGCTTAATATTTATTGAAACCTCTTAACGCGGATCTGAAGTATTCAGCCCAAAGGCTCATAGCGCTTTATGTCAAAACGTTAATAAATATTTACCGCTGAAAAAGAAATATATTTCTTATCTTTCATAACATTGATACTTGTATTATACGTATATACAATTTTTCGAAATACATCGTGGCATTTTGAACTTAAAATTAAATAACTAAAATACTTTAAATTGCTAAAACACCAACAAATAAATCCAAAAACAGCTGTCAATGGTGATTAAACTCAGGCGGAGGTGAGCGTTGAATGAAAAAATCGGAGCAATTCGGGTGGCGTCGTGTGAACAATTATTTTCAATTGGTTAGTTACTTGGGGTTAAAATAGACAACATGCGCAGTGTGCAATGTTACATCTTCGGTCTCTTTTATCTAAGTAAATATCCAACTTAAATTCACACTACTCACCTGTCATCAAAAAATTAACATAGGAAAAAAATAAAGGCACTTCCACGGTAAATTTTCTGTACCAAGCCATTTTTCTTTCATCAAAAAAATCCAAAGGATCTTTCAATAACTCCTTAGTTATTCATAAAATCTGAAATATAAAAACAAAGGTCATTTATTGATATTCAATTACTGTTTAATTATATGTATATAAATGCTTTCGGATAATTACTCATTTTTAGTTTATGTAAATAGACAGGGTCGTAATTAAATGTGCAAGATAAATAAAATGCTTTCAACGAACAGAGACAGATGTAAATTATAAGAAATAAACAAAAATAATTATATCGTTATAGGTGAATGCAACTTTGCTATCGTTTTTCGACGAAAAATTAAATATATAAATATACAGGCTAAATTGATACTTTTTTGTTAACCGGGTATAGAAGTCATTAAAATCAACAACTTAGTCAAATAACTCTTTCGAAAAAAAATCAAAAATAAGAAACTTAGAATTATTTATTCCTGGCCAAAAAGTATCCAATACCGTACTGTCTTTCATGTGTAGAACCTTTGTCGATAACATTGAATATTGTAAGAACCATTCACAAAACTGAATGCTTCAGCATATTGTACGTGAAAGAGATACAATTGAATTTACCGCAATGTTTTCAAGACTTTTGTTTGACTTTGACTTATCCCACCTGATTCTGCAATGACCCGCTAAAATGTGTTCATCTATATTTTCAAGCCACCTGGGATTACATATTAATTGTTTTTATAAAGCGATTCATTTCTTCAAGCAATAAAATATTTTTTTTACTAATAACATGAGAAATCACCATTATTTACTCCATTCCTCTAATGAGAAGTAATATTTCTCTCCCTAGGTAAATAATGATAATAAAAAAAACCTAGGTAAATAATGAAACTAAATTTCATTAGTTTCATTTTGTTAATTTGACAACTAAACTCCCAGACTACTTGATATTTTGAAATATTTGAAAAATAAGTAGGAAATAACTAAAGCTGGGTTTATCAAATCTAATCAAATCAAATATGATAATATATATCAGTGTAAACAGTAAAAATATATATTAACTAGGAAATTCAACACCGGCTTTAAAAATTATTAATTAATAACAATAAATCCATGTCATTAAAATATCAAAAATGCAATGGGATATTTCCTAGAATCATACCAAAATTTGACACATGCCAAATTTTTACATAAATAAAGCCAGTCTGATTAGAAACACGCTCCAGTCTGCTTGATATTTCGAAATATTTAACAAATTGTTAGGAAATTACTTATGTCAAAATTAAAATTGCTAATACATTAATGTTAGTAGTAAAAAAAATTCTATATATACCTCGGCTGAGAAAGCTATTATTTACCTCGCATATTATATCCCTCGGCGCTACGCGCCTCAGGATATAAAAGTGCTCGGTAAATAATAGCTCACTTCTCACCCTAGGTATATAATGTACTATTTTTATCGCCTTAATATTATTTGGACTTATTTTTGTAATAAACTAACAGAATAAAAATATTATACATATCTATACAACAAAAAAGTTTATTTTTTTGTATAAAAAAAAGTTAAACGGCTACGGACAAGAAATCGGAGAACTCCGGTATCCTGTGTAGTGTATAGTGGCTGAGCTCGGATTTAGTCCAGGCTCGGATTTAGATTTTTAATTTCGTATATTTCTTATTTTTTATTAAAAAAAAATTATTTAAAAAACTTGTTTATCTTATTGACTTTTATATACAGTTAAAAAAGTATCAACTTAGGATGTTACATAAATGGAAAACGAAAACTTATAAATAAGTATATAACTTTGCTAAAAAGTTTGTTTTTATGTAATTTGAGATTTTGGTGATTTAAAGTGTTCCACACACTAAGAAAACAGTTTATCTGAAAATTATTATATGGAACAGTTAAAAAAATACCTGTGATATTGAAATTTTTATTTGGTGCAACAAATTCAGATAAATGGACAGTTCTGAAAAACTTAAAAAAGTTTAACTGTTATACAAATGCAAAGTGTGTCTCAGAAAAATTATTTAACAAAAAAACCAAACCAATTAGTTTTTAGGTAATTCTTTATAAGCTTACCACAACATACTAGAATATACTTATGTAACCAGAGCATTTATTTATAACGTTTGGTTACTCTGCTTTGGTCTTAAACTGTATTATAAATATTATTATTATTATTATTATTATTATTATTATTATTATTTTAAAGTAATTATTAACATTTTGCTTAATAATTTGTAAAACCGGCTGACAATAAAAATAATGTGTATTAATAACATTAATTTCAATGTTATTATAATAATATTTTGTATAGCAAGATACAGTAAGTTATTTTTCTACGATCACTATCCAAAGTAGGTTTTTGCACATTTAAATCTAACTACCTAGAAAGTTGTCGTTTTCAACGAATTGTCATAATTTGATATTATTGGCGCACACGTGCGCTAAACTAACTTCGGCAAACGCTTGTCTGTTTTCATTTGAATTCAATAAAAGAAAGCTAATCGGTATTTTAAAACAAAATGTAGGCTAATCTTAAATATTAAATTGACTTCCTAATTTCAAATCATCCAGCAGTATTTTTCGTAAATAATTAAATGATTAAAACATAAATAATTATCGACATATAAGTGCTAAAACATTTTTTTCTCTTTTGAAGAGTAGGCTTATGTCAAATAAACTTACATATAACGAAAAGAAGGTAACCCATTTTTAATCAAATTAAATTATTTATTTTATTTTGGTATGGTCGTAGAAAAAATCTTTTGTGTAATTCAAGCAGAAACTCATTTGGCAGTTTCGACAGATTTATTTCTTTCTGTTTCAACTGCCAAAGTGCTACTCTCTGCTCTTAATACACAAATAGCTATTTTGTTACAATAATTTTATAAACTTTTACTAAGCTACTAGCTATATACTGATAAAAGTGTTATTGCCCTCATCATAAATGAATCCTGGTAACAAATAAAGTCAAAAAAAGTCTTATAATTTTTTCTTCCTTTAACAGTTACTAAAATTAGGTACTACAATACAAATATTTAAGTCCGGCTCAGAACATCTCCCTACTTCTTCCACCAAATTTTTCGGTTTTGGCAAAATTCGCCCAGCGGCAAATACTTTCTATGATCTATGAAGTTAGTATAGCATGTTACGGTTATTATAGCAGGGGCAGAAGTTGGAAATTGGAGATGCCTTTGATAGGTAGAGAGGAGAGTAAACGTCAAATCACGTCGGAGGACTTCGAGAATTTCGCAGTTTACCTGCCAGTGTCGTTTCATAGAACAAGTAATTTTAAATTGTTACTGCCGGAACCGGAAAATCGGATGTATTCATGGACTATAAATAATTATAAAACATGTATTATAATATCTAAATCATAATTCTATAAAATTTCAACAGCTATTTACAAGTTATTAAACTATTTACTCGAAATTGTTATTAACATCTATAAAATAATTTTGTACGCCAATGTATCGCGTCCACTTCAGATCCGCCGCAAACCTGTCAATTTATGTGTATAAAGTGGCCAAAGTGGGAGAACTGGCAAAAGCCTTTCCAAATCCAACTCTTTGTCTGTCGTAAATGGTCTGTAACGTCTGTAACTGTGACTAACACAAAACAAAATCATAACCTAACAAAATAATAAAACTTGATGAAAAAATAAATAAATGTTTGGTTAGTCTAGGCTAGGAAACAAGAAAAATAAAGGACCCAACAAATAATATGAAATACATAGCCTAAATGTAATTGGTAATTGTGAATATAATATAAAAATACTCACTGTTTAAGTTTAAAAAAGGATGGAGATTGTAATAATTAATAGGTATCCATATTTTTCTAGATATTTGTCAACTGTAAAAAGTTTCTATCGAATGGGAAAATTTCAGTTTTATTTTTAACATTAAATACATTATAATAATAAAAATATTATTGCCTTTAGTATTTACGTATTAAAGAAATTAAAATTGTCAATTGTCTACATCTACAATGTTGCCATGTCATGTTGCCATATTATCGTAGTACAATTTTTTTTATAGTTTATAGAGTTAAAACAATGATAAACCACTGTTAAAATTAATAAACTGATTAAGTTATTACATTTTTCTTCACCCATATGGATATTACCTATCTACGCACAGATTACAAAACGAAAAAGTATGCTATTGCCTTCAACTGAACGAATATATTTCATATCCATATCTAGGTAGTGAGAACACTGCAAATGAAATTCACCAATCACCGTTCATATTTTGATCAACCGAGTGCTATTATTTTTAAAATTTTAAATAAGTGACAATTCTATCAAACTAATTGTCAATATATTTTTTAGTTATTAAACATAGATTAACATGGATTATTCTTGTGTAGAATCAATAAATAATAGTATTTATTTTTTTAATATCGTCTATAATAATTATAAATAATTTGTTAATCTAAATAAAACTATATGAAGTCAATTTAATTACGAGTATTAAAGCAACAAAAATTAAAGAGTAGGTGGCATTGTGGTTAGCGTTTTTGCCTTCCAGACAGAGGATTGGAGTTCCATTCTCGAATGGGGAAAAATGTAATGAACTTTTTTCTTTTATTTTTCGTTTATTTTATTTTAAAAATTATTAAAAGTCACAAAGTATTTTAAAATTAGTTATTTTGTCTTAATATCCTAAAATATTTTTCTTATTTGTAAATGTTCGTTAGTGAGTCGTAGAAAAAATATACTGTACAACTCGAGTGGATGGTCCACATCGCACTCATTACCTATTTGTAATTTGCTTTGTTTAGGTACTTATTGGGAAGATTGCATTTTTCCATGAATTCATTCATGGGGAAGACGATTTCCAGATTAATGAAGTAAAATGTTTTTTAACTATAGTTTAAAAAAAATAAAAGAATTAAATTATTCAAAGAGACAGTTTGAGATATATTGTGAAATCATCCTACGACCTATTTGTATTAATAAGTATGTAATTACAATCGTACGGAATATCAAAATTATTGCATAAAACTATAATTATTGTACATCTGACAGCACTGTTTATCTATGACCTCAAACGAAACCGCAAAGAAGAGATCTTTTAAAATACCCGGTTGAAATTATCGTAAA